TGGGGAAATCAGCCAGATCAGCCGCAGGTGGATACCATCCACAGGGGTGCGTGGGCCAAGAGTGAGAGCCCGTAATGAGCTCCACCCAGGCAGAGAGGAGGAGGAGAGACAAAAAACTAAAACTAACAACAACAAAACCTGTAGCCAGCGTGGGCCAACCAGAGAGACACGGGGACCGTGACATTTAGGTTGTGCATTTTAGGAAACACTGACCTGTGGAGCGCCTCGGTCTGTGATGTCTGACTGATGAGCTTCTTCTTTATGTCCTTCTCTTTCAGCGGCAAGTGCCTCTGTATGAATCCTTCTACTTTGAGCATGTGGATCCCAAAGAAAGTAAATGAGTGTCGGCTCCAGAGTTTTCTTGTGTACTTTCTGTCCTGTATATAGCATATTTTTCTTACATTTTTGCATGATTGCAAAACCCCCATATATGGTTGTAAATATGTATGTATTTTTCTATAAACTACATCTTAATTAAAATTAATTTCAGTGATGGGGTGTTAGTCCCATAAAGCCTGAATCACAAAATAATAATATTTTTATGTGTTTATTTAACCTTCTGACAAATAAAAAAGTAAAATAAATGATGAATTTGCATAGTTTTTAATTTGTGGCATCTTTGCTATATTCAGGATTTTTGTGTAATTTCTTGCTTAAAAATGTTTTGTGCAATTTATTTCGGTTTTTCAGGGGGAAAATCACTCTGATCATGCAGACATCACATAGGATACACCCAACATCACAGGGTTAAACACTGATAATGGTACCAGGCAGAATTTGATCGGGCTAAAACACGATCAGCAACAGTGAGGGTTAAAAATGCAACACTGAACACGCAGGTTTCGTAATGATTACAGCTTACGATTAGGATGCTGAATGGAAAGTGTGGTGTTCAGGGGTGACTGTATAGTAGGTCAGTGACAGGAAGTGGAAAGTACGCCTGTGACGGGCGAAGGTTTGCTATGTGTGTGTTTGTCTTATCAACCATACAAAACTTGTACATCTCAAATAAATCTGAGACATTAAATGCATGTCTCTGATATTATAAATGTGTCCTCATCATTCAGTACATCTTCTCTGTATTCATGTTATAAGGTCAACGTTTCAGTGTTTTCACCATGATTGAAGGCGGAATCAGACCAGTTAGCAACGAGCTCCTAAAATACCTTTTCTCTGAACACTGACCTCCAAGTTGACTTAGCAACCCATTTACATACGTGATGTTTATAACTATAAACATTTTTCTCATCCTGGTTCTTGCTGGCTCAGTGCTCCCACAGTACAAGCTACAGTCACACATTTATTCAAGCATTCAGAACAATTTGACAACAATTGAAATTTGCCCAAGGAAATCAAACCAGCGGGTTTCCTGTTTTTAGATGACCTACCTAAGCATCTGAGCCAAATGTCCTAGTAACATTTGGTGGTGAGCAAAGACTGACAGACCTCAAACTGCAACATATACTATTGCAGAAAACACGAGATGCTTACATGCAGTGCTCCGTCTTTGGGACAACGACGGCATGACGATTGTCACTGAAGCATTTGATGTGTAATTGAAGTGCAGACTTTCAAGGTTTAATTCAAAGTATTTAAGAATTACACCTATGCTTTAATCCTTGGATGAACGAACAGCCAATGTCTGCCCAAAGTCTTTAGCCATTGGGCTAAATGTCTGCTTATTTGCTAAATGTTCTAACAACTGAAGTCAAAGTCAGCTATTGTCAAAGACCATATGTACAGTCATACACAAGAACATGGTCCTAAGTGTAGACTCAAACAATATAAAGATTAAAAGATGAAAAATAAAACAGGAATCTTATGTAAAACACCATACAATACAATACTATCTTATATAAACAGCAGTGTCCAACTCAATCATAGTGATTGTGGGCAAGTTCGCGTGGGTGTGCAAGTGGGGTGGGGCAGTCAGTGAAAGGGCAATGGTGGTGGTTCAGAGTTTTATATGTTTGGGGGTTGGGGGTTTCAGAGGAACGAGGCGAATGCAGGTCTGGGGTTCATGTGTGTGACAGCAGGGAGTGAATTCAGCATCCTGACAGCCTGACGGACGGAGCTGTCTCTATATCTGCTGGTTCTAGCCCGGAGGCTCTTCAGTTTCCTTCATGATGGCAGCAAACTGAAGATGCTGTTGGACGGATGAGTGCAGTCACCTGTAATACAGAGGGCTTTCCAGATTAGGCAGATGCAGTAGCTGTCCTGGAGAGGGGGAAGAGAGGTACCCACAATCCTCTCTGCTGCTCTCACTAGCCGTTGTAACTTTTCCGGAAGGACCCAGTGCAGGAGCCATACCACACAGTGATGCAGCTGGGGGTTGAGGCTCTTGCTCTCCTCAGTTTGCAGAGTCGCTGTTGGGCTTTACTGACCAGTGATGCTGTGTTTTTTGATCAGGAGAGATCTTCTGAGATGTGCACACCCAGGAACTTGGCACTGCTTACGCTCTCCACAGCAGCACCACTGATGGTTAGTGGGGTGTGCAGGTTGTGAATTCCCCTGAAGTCTATGATGATCTCCTTAGTTTTCTCCACATTCAGGGACAGGTTGTTGTTGCTGCACTACTCTGCCAGAGGGTTAACCTCTCACCTGTAGTAGGTTTTTATCATTGTGGCTGATGTGACCTACCACAGTTGCATCATCTGCAAACTTGATGAAAAGGTTGAAGTTGAGTGATGGTGTGCAGTCGTGGGTCAGCAGAGTGAAGAGGAGGGGCCCCAACCCACATCCTTCGAGAGTCCCTGTACTTGTTATTGTGCTAGAAGTGTTACTGCAGACCTTTGCTGTCTGCTTTCTTCCTGTCAGGAAACCCAGCAGCCAGTTACAGCCAGTAACTGAATAGGGCCTGCAGCTGTCTCATGAGTTGGTATGAGTCAATGACCACTGCGGATGTTATTCCCCTGTAAACTTTATACTTTATACCGTCCGATACAAATACATAACCCCCCATGGACTGTTCCGATTAGATTAGCCCACACAGGTGGCTCATAACACACAAATGGTGCATTTAACCAAATGATCTACAGGGCCTGTCAGTATAATTGAGCTGTATGAGATAACAGAATAAAATGTTTTATGGATAGTTACAATAAAAAAGCAAGCTAGCATTGGATGAACCCCCTTTTTAAAGTCCGTCTATAATAAAACAAGAATAAATGGTTTGTGCAGATGTCTGCACTGTGTTACTAAAACCGTGATTTTTTGCGCAAATGTCTCGTGACAGTGACGTAAGCAAGTGCGACGTTCGTGACAACAGCTGTGTGCAGATCAACAATGGATAATATATCGAGTGCAGGAGAGAGTATGAGTGTGCAGCGTTTAAAGCGTGGAAGTACTGACCTTACTTTGAGTTTGATTCCATAAAAAGTGACAAAAACATTAGCGTCCGTTGTGCGTGGGAAGAAAACTTCTTTTTACAGCGAAAAAATCCCCTAAACGTCCAAGCAAGCACCGAGTGCGCTATGACGTAATGGGAAACTCACAGAGAAACTCGCGGATTCTTCAACTGACCGCGGCACACCTGCACCAGGGTAAACCTCCGCCTACCCTACTCCTGCTTTACAGGTGAAAATAGAGCAACAGGACCGCTAGTCTTTGATGTTATTTACTTTCTGCTGTGTTTTACTTGCATCTATTTGAAAGAGTGAGTGTAAACACAAAAAACTATTTTATTTTATGTTCTGGAATGTGCAGAAAATAGGTTTAAATGTTAAACAAGTTTCTTCCAGTCAGAGAATGTTGCATATAATAAGTATAATATATAAATAATAAGTTTTTGCTTGATGCATAAAGTTAAAAGATTTAAAGTTTAAAGTTTTAAAAAGAGACTTTTCTATTTGATTACATTTTGTATGATGGATTATGCAGAAAAAGTAGAATTGGGCTGAAAGATCTATCGCTTTATTACCTATTCAGGTTGTAAATTGTGTTTTTAAAAAGTAACTAAGTAACTAAGTAATTAATTACTTTTGAAAATAAGTAATCAGTAAAGTAACAGGATTACTTTTGGGGGAAGTACTCAGTAATTAGTTACTGATTACTTTTTTCAAGTAACTTGACCAACACTGGTCAGCTCTACTTGCTCTCAGGGTTAGTGGTGTGTCACTAGTGCTATAAAATAGAAATCCATTTACTGTTACAATTTAACAAACTAGCCGTTGTATTCTGATTTACCGGCACCTTATAATCAACCTCGTCCTACTGAAGATGTGCACCCAGAGAAGTATCACCTATGGTGCAGTCGTTAATTCATTTCCAGTTTCTTTGAACCTTGACACTCTCTAACAGTTTTTATAGTTTACAAAGGCAAAAGTAGCCCATCGTAGGTGTGATAACGAACTAGCCTATGTTTGAAGTATGGGCAGCACATACTGCCCATACTTCAAACACATGCGCCACTTTTCATGAGAGCTCTGTATGGGAGAGTGTGCTACAACACTGCTATAAATATATAAGTTGTAATAAGTTCTCTGAAAAAGTTTTCAAAAAGAAAAAAAAAGCTTTATTCACAGTGAAACAAGTGTTATTTCCTGTGGCTGTAGCTTCAGATGTGTCAGGTTAGAGAGCCACATTTCCCAATCTCGCCCTTTACAATTTCACACCTCCAGTATCTTATAGTGTGATCTACCTTCTTAATCTGGAGGTTTGCTACTTGGTCATCTTTCAAAACATACTCTGTTATAAATTCCAGCAATTAAAGAAAAACAAGAAAGGCGGAAACATTTTAAAATTGGTTAGAAAGGCCTGAATGAAATTAAAAAGGAATTGGTGCAACCGCAGGTCTAAACTGTCCCATCCTTACATATAATCATTTAGGATAACTCTTTATTGTCATTGCACAGTCACACATAGTACAATAGTACAATGAAATTGGAAAACTGTCCCACGTTGGCACTACGTACAACACAACACGACACATCACAACACAACACAATAACTTCGCTTAGTAATAAAATGAACAATAAGTGCATGTGTATTGCACACTGTTATTATTGCACATTAATTATTATTGCACCTTGTCTGTGAAGGTTCTCAGTCATCCAGGTCATCGTAGTCAAAGGAGCTTGCAAAGAAAAGCGTCTGGACTTCTTTAAGTTGATCAATGTAAATAGCATGACCTGATGCTACCCTTACCTGGATTTTTTTTTTTTATATGGCGAGGGGGGGGGGCGCCAGAGGAGTAACAACAATAACACATAATTACATAAGTCCTATATTTATAAAACAAGCGTGCATCAATGCATCTTGACACTACTTTAATAACGTTGAATAACCGCACGATCAACTCTGAGTTTGTCCTACGATGGAAGGTGGCTAGGACAAGCAGCAGTCCATCTGCATCTTAAGGATAAAGGACACTCTTTCGAGGATGCCAATGTTCACATTTTGGACAGAGAGGACAGATGGTTTGAAAGAGGAGTGAAAGAAGCCATCTATGTCCACTGTGAGCGACCATCTTTGAACAGAGGCGGGGTTTACGACACCAACTCTCTGCCATCATAGGGCTTCGGAGCGTGATGTCACGGGGGTGGGCGTGGAAAGGATTTTGGCCCGATTCACCATTTTGGGGGTCTAAGCTAGGAGCGATAGCATAGCCATGGTTCGTACTTGCTGTGTGCTCGGCTGCAATGTTCGATCTTACGACCGGCACGGGAATAAGGTTGGATTGTCTTTTTATGCTTTCCCAACCTGGAAGCAACATGAAGGAGCTCATGTATCGGATATTACCAAACGAAGGCGTCTAGCCTGGATAGCAGCCGTGAGACGAGCTGATATCAAGTTCTGTTACGTCTCCAGATATCAGCTGGTGTGCTCACGACATTTTCATTCCGGTAAGTTCTAAATATGTTCTTATCACACTTTATAGCTGAATAATATTACCGTTGATGGTCTCGGAAGTTATAGAAATTGCGATCAAACATCGAATGGAGTGACTTTGCAGACATATGTGCTATGTAACGATTCGCTAATTGTTTCGCACAAATGTAGGGAAGCCTGCCTATGACACTGATTGGCGTTTATAATTTGCCCGATTATCAATGTGTTAATTTGCATCTACTATACAATTATGGGCACATAATATGATAACGATATTTTAACAGTTCAATGATAAAGATTTAACATTAATTATGGTGGGGGGTGGAAAATGGCTATGTCACTCGATGCACTCCAGCTGACGTACCTTAGTATGAATGACGACGTACTCAGATTTTGGCGGCTTGAAAATAGCCAAATCTTGCACCCAGCCATTTGTAAATTGGATATGCGCCTCCAGTGACTTGTAATTACGAAACTGGTTCGCAGTGTAAGCACTTACTCCACAAACAAGATAGGTGAAGATATCGGGGTAGGACAGTGGCGGTAAGTCGTCTGGGTCTTTACTCCACTGCCGTATGTCGTATGGGTCCAGATTTGCGATGCACTCAATTTTTTTCAAATACCGCTGCTTCGCCTCTGGACGCAATCGATCTCTATACCGTCCGTTTTCTTTCGAGCTGCTTTTAAGCGTGTTTCTTGTCGTAGTCGCCGTTCCAATACAGTGTATTTGTTTGGATCGTAGACCCCGAAAATGGAGCTGCGCTCCCACAATGCATTGCGGCGTGACGTCAACTCCGAAGCCCTATAATCCCAGTTTTTGAATCCCTCCCAGACGCTAACGCCCACTCACATCCTGGGCTACCTCTACTCATCAGGATTCGCATGATAAAAGGTGGGCCATGGTTTCACAATGAACTCACCCGAACCTTGGTGCATTGGGACCACACGCCAGTTCACACCTTGACTCAGGCGATCTAGAGGATCATCAGGGAGTCCTTCTTGGGATCCCTCTTGGTGGGAACTCCACTAGTTTATATC